GCTCCCCGCGGCCGGCGGCTCCGCACGTCAGCCCCCGGCACACGGCTGCATCCTCCCACCTGCGGAGGGGACACGGCACAGAGTCACCCAGGGCACAGAGTCACCCAGGGCACAGAGTCACCCAGGGGACAGAGTCACCCAGGGGACAGCACCCAGAGGTTCCCCTGCTGTTCCACCCATCCCACCGCATCCTCGTGGGAATGAGCCATCCCTGCGGCGGGCCCGGCACGCCGGAGCGTGGATGTGCCTCGCCAGGAGCTGTACCAACAAAATGCAAGGCAAGAAAAATGGCATTACTTCCACTGTCCAGGGCTACCCACATTTAACGTTTCCAGGTCTGACATGTATTTATAAACACAGTACAATCACCCTCTAAAATAAAACATGGAGTCAGCTCAGAGAGTGTCAGAGTGGGGGGCTAAAATGCTCTGCAGCACGGCAAATCGACCCTTTGGAAAAGCCACCAAATCCAAGATTAACATTCACTTTAAAACCATAAACAGATTATGCAGCTACTGCTTCTCGTTTGAAAATGCAGGGCCAAATTCAGTTCTGGATTAACTCCACTGTTTGAAACAGAATTACCCCAGGAACACTTTTGATCCATAATATCATTTTCAAAGGCCTTTTCCTAAGCGGCAGGCAGAGAGTTCAGGATAACTGTCCCTAAATGGTATTTAATGCAGAAGAACGTGCCAAGCACATTTCTTAGCAAAATGGTATAATCAGATTCCAAGCCATTAAGAGGAGCGGTCACCTCTGAAGGTCACCTGGGCTCTCCCCTGCCCAGCAAGACCGTGTGTGACAGCCGTGTCCCCAGCGCTCGGCCCCTGTGCCAGCCCACAGCCCTGAGCTTCTCCAAGGGTTTCCAGAGGCTTCCAGGGGCTGCTGAGAATGAAACACACTTGCAATACACGGGGAACTCAGCGGGAACTCGGGGAGAAAAAGTTCACTTTTTGCCACACTGCTTAACCCCCATCCCCAGGGACAGCGCTGCTCTGGCTCAGTACCAGAGGAATCATGGGGATGATTCCTGCTCCAGGCACGCTCTGCTCTCCTTCCTTGGCTTTTTGTAATCCTGGAAGCATTTGCATTTGGAGGCACCACAGCAGCAGCCCTGTGCTAACACCAGAACCCAACCAGTCGCTGCACCTCAGTCCCTGGGCTGGGCACGGTGCCAGGGGCCATCCAGTGCCACCTTCCCTGGCACATGCTCCCAGGCAGGACAGCACCCAGGGAAAAGCAGCAGCAGAATTACTGTCAGGCACAAGGGGCCATTTCCAAACAGCACCAGGAGCCCCTGGCTCGCTCCTGCTCACTAATTATATCCATTTAACTGGTCACTCAGCCAGGAACTGTCCCCATCCCAGTAATTCTCAGGATCAGCTTGCCAGGAGCCAGGCATGGAGCAGCGCTGTGCGAGCAGAGCAGGAACAATTCCGACAGCTCTGCCCGGCTCTATTCACTGAGGACAAATAAATCCACTGGAGTCAATTAATAAAACACTGCTGCTCCGTTCCTCCTCCGCTCCCCTGACTCATTCCCAGCAAAGAGCCGGCATTGTTCACACCTCTGGAATTATACTTTAATTGCAATATTGCATGGCTGGTTTAGTCACGTATTAAATTGAGTTGTAACACATTCACAGGGTACACACCTCCTTACAAGATTTGGCTACTCCAAGAGATGGGGAACGAGCCTGGACAGCCACGGGAACACGGTTTATCCATAGGCTCAGCAATGCTGTGCCAGCCCACTAACCTCAAATAACAAAATAACCCCCCAAAATCAGGCTGCAAATCCCCAGATCTCCATGAAGTAACCAAAGTACCTGTGGCTGGGGAAGCTTTGTCTCCCAGCATTTGACCTTGAGTGTGCATTTAAAAGCTTCCCTGTAAGCATGAGGGCCATGCTGTGCCAGGCACTGGCAATCCCCCTGCCAGCCCTCTGGGCTCCTGTTGCCAGCACCAGCTCTGAGCACAGCAACCTGCTGAGCCATGGAAATCTCCAGGTCAGAAGATGAACAAAATTAGGGATGCGGACAAGATATTTTACACCAGAAAGGCTCCGCTGCACATCTGGCTTCTAACAGTCCCAAGGGAATGTGTTGGGACCTTCCCTGCCCTGAGATACACCCCAGGAATTCGAGTCTGGCAGGGACTACTGAAGGCACAGACCAGGGCAGTTCACATGCCCTAAAGGCTTTTAAACCTATTTTTCAAAGTCTAGCTGCAAATCCAAAGAAATGCAAATCACTACATCAGCATGAGTTAAAACCCGGGGAAAAGCAAGTGGCCCTGTTGGCAGGAGTTGATTTAAAAGATCAACAGGTGTTCCGAGGATCCTCCCCAATTCCTGCGTGTCTGCAGCAGCGTTCAGATGAGCAGTGGAGAGGGCAGCGGGACCCCGGTGGCAGCTGGGGAAGGGGCTCAACATTTTCCTGGCCCTTATTTCGGTGATGTCAGTGAGGGGCTGGGAGGATGCCAGGGAAAGCAAAATCCTTTGGATTTCCCAAAAAGGAAAGAAGAAGCTGGCGTGTGACTGCAGCCC